AAAGAAAAATAGAAAATACTTGACAGAAAAAGACAAAATATAAAGACGGAAACCAACACAATGTGGAATACCGTTTTTGTTCTCAATATTTTTGTGGTTTACGATATCTGGGATAGGGCAAAACTATCTATTTATAGTCGGCACGTGCTAACCCGTTGTTTGTCAGTAAATCGACCTGGTTCAAAGACAATCGGAAGCTGATAAACCCTATATCCAATCCTTCGGACGCGGCTAGGAGAGTCACAGTCAGTGGTAGCAAATGCAACTAAAATATATAATTATGATGATGCGACAGTATTCGGGATAAAAAAGACAATCAAAGAACGGAAAGAATTAGCAAATCTTATCTTCGAAGTATTTTACAATAAAATAAAACAACTATTAACTTACCATTTTATTAACAGTCCAAACCACGAAATAAAAAATATACGAGAGACGTCGATATAGCTTTTCTCAAACCCAGATGGTTATTAGTAGCTGTTCTTTGCGGAAAGGTGAAAGAACAGAATGAAACTGCGACAAAACAGTTATTACATGATAATATATGCTAAATTGACCATGATAAATTAAACCTAATTGAGAATTATGCTCATCGTTTAATTTGTTCCGATGGATTCTATATAAATTTAATCTACTAAGCGACATACACGGAAAACAATTATTTTAGCACGCCACGCGAAAATTCACCGCACCTTAAATTATTGTATACCCTTGTGTACCAATTAGGCATATTAATGAAGTCGATACGTAAACACTTTTATATAATTATTACGGGGTGTGTGAACATACACACATCAAAATAATCTAGGAGACAAAAACAAAATGCGACATTACAGAATCATTTCAAATAATTTTCACCAAGTATCGAAAAAACAAAATATTCTAATTTTGACTTTTCAGTGCAATTTTGATTTTCTTTTAAGCTGTCCCACACTTTTGGACGCTTCGACAGAAATATACTCCTATCAGCATTTCTCTTTACTTTTGGAAGCATAGCTTTCTTATCGCGGACTAAGGACGGAATGCATTGATCGGTGTAATGGATCGTGCAGAAGTGTGCACAAAACAAAATAAAATAAAATAAATTAAGAACCATCGTTCCGTGCGTACTAAATGATAAGAAAGCTATGCTTCTTCTTCACGGCCACTCCCGGAGTGCCACATCCCGTTTTTTTCTTAAAATACTTTAAACAACATAACAATTGAATCAGTTATTTCGAAAAGGCCACATTAAGACCTCCATTAATTTCACAAAATGAGTTAACTTCGCCATTTTGTTCAAAATATCCTTTAAGCTTTATTACACGTGAAAACGCCACATCTCCGCTGTTCGCTACTAATAATCTTGACAGGCGTATTTCTCTGTTTATTTCGAAAAGGCCACTTCTCGAGAGATGTGGCGTTTTCGAAACAAACTGCGCGAGCCGGACATGTGATTTAGTGGTTACGGTCGCGGACCTTCCTAGTTTCCTACTTGTAGACTAGACTATACGTGTCTACCTTGTAGACTAGACCAGTTGAAGATTATCTTTAGTACGATTAGGTTCCATTATGTATTGTTTATATAAAAATGAGTAGCTCTGATAGTGAAACCAGTGTCATTATTGAAAATCTAAAGTAAGAGCCAAGTCCATATTAATCACGTGGGAAAACAAGTTATGGAGCAAAAAACTGGAATCGACTGTACTTGTCACAAGAAGTGTTATGAACATTTTTCGGAAATTGATAAAAATTGCGTTATTTACGTCGTTACATGACTTTGATGACAAAAACTCACAATATTGTTCTGAAGCTATTTTCTTGTGGCATTGTAAATTAATTACTGTTAAACTGGGAATAAGCCACAATTAAAGATAAAAATACGTTTATTGACGTTTCAATTTCCACTTCGGAAATCGTTCTCAAAATACAAACAGTAAATTAAACAAATTTTGTTTTTTGTTACATAGTGAAAAATTCTTCTAATAATTTAATTTTATCTGACTCATTTATATTGACAATTCAGACATACATTATGCATTTTAAAGTAGATGACTTTAAAATGATATTGCCAATATTGTTGAGTTGCGCTCTGGGACGACTTTACTTATAAGATAGTTCATTCGATTACATGAAATTAACTTTAACTTGAGAATATCCGTCAGAAAAAATCATAGCATGTAATTCGTCTTTAAAAAGACAAACACATGACATGATGACAGTAAAATTCCCCTGTTAGTGATTCCATAGTAAATTATGAGGGAAAACCAGGAAAAAACCTCATAATACTATCCCGACATTGTAAGTATTTGTTCGTGAATTTAGTTTACCTTCAACAAACATCAAAATTCTGATTTTATATGTTACGTTATTTGAACAACATAAATGAAGTATCCTCTATATGTTACTGACTTACTAATACTGGTATTTTCTTATTAATAACTTCCTCTTTCAATATTGGTAACTAGATCCTACTACATTCTGCCGAGGAATTTGCGACACAATTGGCCTCATTTAGCATAATTAGAGCCGCTTCTTTGATTTTTCTTTTTTTACTATCCGTTTCTTTTAGGATACATTTGAATTATTCCATTGAACCCTATGTTCATTATCCCATGCGTGTTTACAGATTTGAGATCTATCAAATTCTCTATTTTTAATATAAGATTGATGTTCACTTATTCTAACATTTAATGGCCTTGATGATTCACCTAAATAAAACTGATCGCATTCACAAGGTATTTCATAAATGCAATTCTTTGTCCTTTCTTGTTCATTATTAGATTTGGTTTTGGACAAAATAGATCTCAACGTGTTTGTTGTTTTGAATGTTGTTGAAATGTTGAATTTATTTCCTATCCTTTTAAGTTTTTCTGCTAATCCTTTTATGTACGGTATTGTTATTTTCCTCATATTATTCCTTGTGTATGCTGTAGGATCTCGTTCTAAGTTGTTCTGTTCTATTCGATCGATTGTTGAAAATTCCTTATTTATAAACGATAAAGGATAATCATTTTTTAATAAAACAGATGTTAACAAATGTTTCTCCTCCAAGAACGAATTTTCATTAGAACAAGTAATTTTGGCTCTATCGTATAGAAGAATTTTTCACTATGTAACAAAAAACAAAATTTGTTTAATTTACTGTTTGTATTTTAAGAACGATTTCCGAAGTGGAAATTGAAACGTCAATAAACGTATTTTATCTTTAATTGTGGCTTATTCCCAGTTTAACAGTAATTAAAAACTCACAAGACTCATACTTACAAAATATGATAGAAGTAACTCCCATTAAGAGAATGAGGAAATCTCAGAATGCCATTAAATGTATTAAGAGACCCAATAATTTTTTGTTTTATGTTTGTTTAAAAGAAGTACGTAAGCAAGTATGTAAGAAAGGTTTCTTAAATTTATATGGTGTGGGCTAAAAGCATCAGAAGATTATGCCACCTACAGTGGGTGGATACACTCCAAGAGATAATAGAGGTAAATCTGTTAAATCTAGGCATAATTTAATACCAGATGAATTGTGCTCTCAAATACGTGAGCACATACAATCGTTTCATGTAAAGGAAGTCCATTATGGTAATATATTAAAAAAAAAAAGTATTTACCTGCTACTTTGGATGGCAAACAAATGCATAAAGTGTTTATCGATAAATTTCCGGAATCTAAAGTGAAATACAGTTTTTATTTGAAGTATTTTTATGAAAATTTTACATACTATTTTGATCGTCCTCAAGTTGATGTATGTTCTGCTTGTGAAGAACTTGGCCAGAAAGTTAAAAGTACCACTCCCAACGACATTGCAAAACGAGTTACTGTTGCAGAACTATTAGTTCACAAAAATGGGGCTAAGAAAATTTACAAAAAACTAAAGCAGATTTAAAAACTTTCTTCAGAGACGGACGAGATACTAGGAATCTCTATTAATTATATGCAAAATTTGCCGATACCTGACATACCTGTACAGGAATTTTTTTATTATCGGCAGTTATGGTTTTTTGGATTCAGTATACACAACTTAAAAACAGGAGAAGCTAAATTTTTTCCATCACGAGGGCGAGGCCCACAAAGGACCCAATGAAGTGTGCACCTTCCTGAAAAATTATTTTGACAAAGAGGTTTATGAAAATGCAAAAGGAATTTTTCTTTCTGAAGAATATTACGAATTGATAAAAAAATCGCCAAGAAAATCTCTTTTTTCTATAGAACTGGTAAAAAATGAAACAATTTTGGAATTAAAAAAATGGTGGCCTATGCATTATAAGAAAACCGTACTCTCCATTGACTCCTATTGGAAAAAACCAAACATGAGAAAACAACTTTTTAAATTTCTCAATATAATGAGTTCGAATATGACAACAAAAAACCGGGAATTGTTAAAGTACGTCCATTTATCGATGGGCTTATGTTTCATGAATTTTCCTTGGGAAAACCAGCTGCAGTGTGTCCTAGTTTGCCAACAGAAAAACTTACTTACACAGAAAAATCCCTATTAATTCGAAAAAAAATGGACAACATCAAGAAACTTGTACAATATGTACCAGAAGACAAAATGTTTTTTTTATAATGGGCTGATTTTATGGCCCACCACTAATAGTGATGAACCACCAGAGGAAGATTACTAAAAGACTATTTCTTAACCTTCAACATGTTTTTTTGCCACCTAATAAATTTTTTCCTTAATAATATTGGAGTTTTCTATTATTAATCATAAAATCATCAGTGTCTGTTTGGAAAAGGCCATAACTCCAAAAACTAAATTATTTTTTACAGTGTACCTATGTCTTTTTTATGTTGGATTTGTTAATGAAACTTCGTCATGCATCACATTTTGAAACTTTACTCCGAAAAGAGAAAGATATCTTCATTAATACCAAAATGAAACGTTTTTTTCGTTTCCTGTACATTAACATTTCTGGAGTTGTGGCCTTTTCGAAATAACCGATTCAATTTATTTCAAAAGTTTGTATAAAAAATAAACAACGAAAACGGAAATATTTATGAAAAATACTCACGGCTTAATAACACAGGAAGGCAATCTAAACAGAAAAAAAAACTAAAGTAAGTAATCAAACATCTAAGTGGTAACATTAAGAATTAAAATGAGTAATACATTTAAATACTAGATCTAAATAAAAAAGAATATTCTGGTATTTTATCGCTAAAACTGCGATAAAAAGCATAATTTACACAAAAAAAGGTATACTAAAAAATCTCACTAGACTCTTCTTTTCTCTATCGAATGTTCATTTGTTAAGCCGCGTTTTCACGATGACAAATGGCGAGACAATTGTCAGAAGACAACTTAAGCCGCGTTTTCACGATGACAATTGGCGAGACAATTGTCATTGGACAATTGTCATCACGTGGTTTCGGATTGTCGGAGGCCAGTCCAGTTGAACGAGAAGATGTTTATACGGGGCCAACTATTGCCATGACAGTAGACAACTAAAACATGACAACTATATGTTTGTGCGTCACAGTGTTGCCACATTTTTTTTGTATAAAGTATAGGATAATGGAAAGATACTTTGACGAAATTGTATACCGGGTGATGAATCGTCAAACGGGCCATAGGAAACTCAATGGGAAATTTTAAATTGTTGAATTGCTGCTTCCCTAATTATTTTACACCAAAAGTCATGGGAAACTATTTGTAGAGGACTCAAATATGTATCGAAAACAATTGTTAAAATTGTTCTACTCGATCCAGAACCGAACTCGACACAACTGGTCAATATAATAAAGAAACGCAAGCTGGAATACTTCGGTCACATTATGAGACACCCTAAAAAATATGATCTTTTACATCTGATCATTCAGGGAAAGATCCAAGGTAATCGTGGTCCTGGTAGACGAAGAACATCATGGCTGAAAAATCTAAGGCAATGGTATGGAAAATCAACTACATCGTTATTTAGAGTTGCTGTCAATAAAGTCACGATAGCGAATATGGTAGTCAACATGATATCCAACGATCGATAACGGTCATGGAACTAGAAGAAGAAGCAGCGAAAGAAAATAGTTCTAACGTCACTCCAGAAAGCGATGTACTGTATCTTATGGAGGATTTAATACATCAAGGAAGAACGCTGATAACCGACAATTAGTATACAAGTTTACCGATAGCAAAGAACATGTTGTCCGTCGATACACAACTGATAGGAACTGTTCGAAAAAACTGAAAATATTTACCCCAATAAGTAGTAGCTACAAAATTAAATAAAGGGCAGATTGCTTCTATGGAAAATGATGATGGAGTTACCATTACGAACTGGAAAGACAAGAAATATTTACATGCTTTCTACTAAACACGGCAATGAAATGGTCGAAGTATCTTGTAATCGACAAACTAAACTGAAACCCATTGGAGTGACTTTGGAATTCTAAATCATCTCTATATAAAAATAAAACAGCCCGTGACAATGCTTACACACCCAAATCCCACATTTTTCTCTTTTTTGAGTTCCGCCTCGGATTCATTATTAAATTTCTAATAATATCCGTGGTCATCAGCAATATTTGCTTGTGTAATTCATTCCGAACACCTTATTAATTACAAAACAAGTACTTATGAAAACCACTCGATTGTTTACTAGTACTGGCATGTGTAAAAATCTATCTTGCTTTTGCCAGTATAGGCAAGTGAGCTATTGACACGCAAATTACTAGCAAATGTGTTTTGTGCTTGTCAGTTGCTGGCATAGGCCAGCTACATTCCCAATTGACTCGCATGTGTGTACCCGGCTATATTAAAAACTACAACAATGGTGTGAGAAAAGCAAAATAATAGTTACTACATCTGCTATCAATGTCACATTGATGAGGAAATTGTAATGCATTGTATCACCTTAATGTAAATTGAATGACGAAGTAGCAATGAGTATTGCACAAGAATCATTGCCAACGTAAAGTGGCTTTAAAAATAACTATATATTAAATAATAATAGTAATAATAAAATATAATTGCATAAGAGACGCTAAATAAATATTAAATAAAGTACGATTTATATGTATCTATTTCGTAATATTTCTTAATAAATATATGAATAATATAAAATAAGATAAATTCGGAATTGGCTCCTAATTTTTTTTATATAATCATGATCATTATTTTACACGATATGCTAATCAAATTCAACCGTCGAGTCATCTAAATTTGTGATATTTAAGGGACATATTCCAAGTTTTTCTTAATTTTTTAAATATAATTAAGTAAGCATTTTATCAATTACGATGCAAGGTGACAAGGATTAATGAAATTAAAATTGACTATTCAATTATGTTATCGTGTGAGATAATGAAGATATGTAATAAATTATGTTTACATCAATTGGTGAATACTAATCGAATCTTAATTAACAAAATGGGAAATTGTGTAAATATATTTAGCAAACTATAATAATCTACGTTTACGATTTAGATTTTGCAATGAAACTCAAGTATATTTCACGAATTTGAGCCTGTTTTGAATTATCACTAGACACTCGACAGCCAATAGTTCACTTTACTGTACAACATAAGAAGTACGAACGTAAATTGCTCTAGTACTTAAAATATGAAACAAATAATTTCTAAAAGGAATTAAAAAATCTATCTATATAAAATGCTATGACAAGTCACACAGAGTTATTCCTATATACAGAGTGGCCCAAAAGTCTGGAAACGGCCAATAATCTCGTAAATTGCTAGTTATAATTGTACAAAATTTGAGGTACACCTATTTTGGGATACGGAGATTCCGTATTTGATATTTGCAATGTTGCCAGATTTGCCGTTTCTCTGATATTATTAGTAACTTTGGTTTTTCAAATGCATCATTCTGTATATTCAGTCATTATTAGAATCTTCTATTCAATACGAGTTTAACTATATGTAACACTTATGGTTTTTTATAGTCTGGAAGGTCTTAAATACATAAAACAGAAGTCTGCCAACGCCTAATTGTTTCAATAAATTTTTTTATACTAATTATTTTCAACTACATTAAAACGTAACAATTGATAGATTAAACCATTTTTTAAAAATAGTTACGTTATTAAGTGTTCAAAATATGCTCATTTTGTGAGTTGACAGTACCCTAATCGATGGTAGAATGCGTAGAATCACATTTCTCCATGATGGTCTAGAAATTATTTGAGATTAATCGATAATTCGTTGCCTTTGATCTGCAAGACTTGGCTTGTTAAGTTTTGTAAACTGAATTTTTCAAGTATCCCTAATAAAAATAATCTTTACGATTGAAATCGGGTGAACGTGGAGGCTACTCAATTCTACCTTGTCTACCAATTTATCGTACGGAAAATATCTCATTTAAATAACGCCGAACATTTACACAAACTATCTGACGTTAAATTTCCTTCGATAAAAAATGACCCAATTGACTAAGTACCTACTATACCTGATCATACATTTAATTTTTGTGGTCTGGTATGGTTTTCACGCATTCAGTGTGAATTCCATATGAGTTCAACTATTCAATACGAGTTCAAAAATATGTAACACTTATGATTGTATGTAGTCTGGAAGGTCTTAAATACATAAAACAGTGCAAAATATGTAGATTTTAATAAAATTAAATATTTAAATGTAGAATGCTGTGATATTGACATTTGTTCACGATTTACATTATAAACTAAAACTGACAGTATTTCTGTTTCGAAAAGTTCTGCAATTTAAATTGCTTCTCTAAAATGCCGTTCTCTAAACCGTTCTCCTATTCATAAGGCGACGGTACAAAAAACTCTAAAGCGATTTGGGAAATCTGAAGAAGGTAAAGACAGATGGAAAGAGAAAAGTTTTGTTGAAGATCCACATACATCCTCAGGCAGGGTTGCGCAAGTACATGATGTAGGTCGTTCTTCAGTCTTTCGTATATTACGTAAAAATAAGTTTAAACCATACAAAATAAACTTATTGCAAAAATTAAGTGAAGATGACTTCGATCTTAGATTAGAGTTTACTGAGGTAATGATGGATAAAATTAAAAATTATTAAAATTTCGTTAACAGAATATGTTTTCCGATGAAGCAATCTTTACACTGTGTGGAAGTGTAAATCGACACAATTTAAGGTACTGGAGAGATGCAAATTCACACTGAATGCGTGAAAACCATACTCAAAGACAACAAAAATTAAATGTATCGTCAGGTATAGTAGGTACTCAGTCAATTGGGACATTTTTTATCGAAAAAAATTTAACGTCAGATAGGTGTAAATGGTTGGTGTAAATGTTCGGCGTTATTTAGATGAGATATTTCCCGGACGATACATTGGTAGACAAGGTAAAATTGAATGGCCTTCACGTTCACCCGATTTCAATCATAAAGATTATTTTTATTAGGATACTTGAAAAATTCAGTTTACAAAACGTAACCAGCAAGTCTTGCATAGCTAAGGCAACGAATTATCGATGAATCTCGAATTGTTTCTAGACCATCATGTAGAAATGTGATAGACGCATTCTACCATCGATTAGGGTACTGTCAACTCATAAATTGAGCACATTTTGAACACTTAATAACGTAACTATTGTTAAAAAATGTTCTAATCTATCAATTTAAAAGTTTTACTGTAGTTGAAAATAATTAGTATTAAAAAATTTATTGAAACAATTAGGCGTTGCCAGACTTGTGTTTTATGTATTTAATACCTTTCAGACTACATAAAATCATAATGTGTTACATATGGTTGAACTCGTATTGAATAGGAGATTCCAATCAATATTAATATATTAATGACTAAATATACAGGATGACGCATTTAAAAAACCAAAGTTACTAATAATATAAGAGAAACGGAGAATCTGGCAACATTGCAAATATCAAATATGGAATCCCCGTATCCCAAAATACGGAGATTCATGGATTCATGGATTCATTCAAAAATACATCATCATGGTTTATTTAAGCTGTTAAAACTGGGAGATAGGAACTTTTGTATTGTAGGTTTCAAGCTATGAATCTGTCAAAATATACCCGAACTGCCAATGGACCTTATAAGTTGTGATTTAGAAAGTAATTGTTACGGGGCATTTTCT